CCCCCCCCCCCCAGCTCTGATGCATGTGGCCGGGACCCTAACCACGCAGCTCAGGCACCAAACCTACAGACTAGTTTCTACAGCCCAGAAAACCTGCCCAGTGCCATTAGGCTGTTGCAGAGTTATTACACAAGCCCCTGCTATGTGCACAGCACTGTGGGAAATACAGGAGTGAATATGATGACCCTGGGAGGTGTACACTTCAGTGAAGTCTGCTTCTAAGGAGTCCTGTCAATAGGTTGAATATCCCTAATCAGAAATGTTTCATACCAGAAGTGTCTCAGATTTAAGATTTTGTTTAGATTTGGGAATATTGTCTATATATAAAGAGATCTCTTAGGGAGGGGACCCATGTCCAAACATGAAATTCATTTATGTTACATATACACTTATGCATATACACATAAAGCTGAAGGTAATTTTATTTCTCCCTTGTAGATGCTGAATAAACTGTGTGTCTGCATTTTGACTATGACCTGATGACAAGTTAGGTCAGGTGTAGAATTTTCCACTTGTCGTTACTCAAAAAGTTTCAGATTTTGGAGCATTTCAGATTAAGGATACTCAACCTATAACCTAATTGCAGAAACAACTTGCTCATGCATAAAACCATTAGAGTTATCACAGCAGATAATATACCATATTGTCTGTGATGTCAGTTTATGAAGAAAGATCAAGGACAATCAAGAGTACAGTTTTGTTATGCTCCACAGTGCACGTAGCAAGTTTCACTCAACCCATGGACCTGCTCCTTCTTAGCCCTAAGTCCAAGTACTGTAGGAACTGGAGCTGGGAAGTAGTAGACTGGAGGCTTCAATAGACTGTAGGGTTAAAGGTATAATTATAAACAGACTCCATCAAAGAAAGAAACTGATTTACTCCGGGTTCTATATTCAAACAAAGGGCTCAGGGATTGGGCCATTTGTTGTGTGCTGTTATTTGTGCTGGAAACCAATAAGGGACAGGAAAAAATAAAAATGCCACCGCCAAACCAGAGAAGCAGGCCTATTGACCATTTTGTACCTATAGAAGAATTAAGAAGAAAAGGAAGAGGTCAGAGTTGGTCCCTCTGCTCCTTCTCAGGTGTCTTGAGTATGATAAGAAGTTTAAGTGTTAGAAGTAGCAGAGTTGTGTTGGAAGAATTAAAGCCACTAAGAGATGAGATGTGGGCCCTAAACAATTCCCAGGAAAAAGCAATAAAGTAGGTAATGGCTGAAGTAATAAGGCAGTAAAAGGAGCAGCTGTTTAATGAATGCGTCCTAGAAGCCCAACAGATGAACTTAATTCTGCTCATTTGACATGTGATAAAACAGAGTCCAAAAGATTAAGTAACTTTCTCACTACAGTTTGTAATGGGTAGAGGACAGACTGGAGCCTAAGATGTAAGGCATTGTAAATTGCAATTCTAATAATTTAATAACTATAATTTGAGATGCTACAGTAACAAAAGCCTTCAGTGATCTTGAAGACACAAAGTAGCTTGTTCTGTCTTTGCATGGTTTAGAGCTGTGATGTACAATATAGTAACCACCCGACACATTTGCATGCTTGAAAAGTGCCTAAAGTAACATGTTGAAATGATAGTATTTTGGATATATTGGTTAAATATATTGTCAAAATTATTTCCTCTGTTTCTTCTTTCTTTCTTTCCTTTTTTTTTTTTTTTTTTGAGATAGA